TTTTTTTTTTTTTTTTCCCAGTTTCACTTAAAATGTTCATCTTAGGCAAAGATTTCCACCAGAGAAAACCATACACAGAGAAAACCCTTACAGGAAGGCTGTCCAGAGGTGCCAAGAGAGCCAGATCAGGTTGACTGAAAACACCAGGTGCTTGTGTGCAGGACAATCCATTTCAAAGCCTGTTTTGTTCTCTTCTGACATGGATGGGAAGGAGAGGTGGCACCTCTCGTGTGTCTCCCCACCACAGCCCATTCTGAACCAACCACATTTGAAAGAGTTGCTAGGGGGCCACATGTTCTATATTTCTGGTGACCATAGGGATGACCCTTCCTGATGATGCTGGAGGACTGCCGAGTCACAGGCTTTTTGTCCTGTAATCCTGGATCCAAAAGCAACAATTTGTCCTTCTTCCACAAAGCATGTGAGCAGAAGCTTGGAAAGATGATAAATTAGCATTGAGAGAGCATGGAGGATGGGAGATCTTTCCTTTCACCTGCTGCCTAGCATATCTGACTGTTTTTATAGCAACTAGAAGTTTAGAAAAGATTAAAAGGTTATTCCACCATCTTTTTGAGGGGCAATGCTTTGAAGAGATGATGGATTTTGTCATCATTTTGCCTAAATAACTTCCACTATTAAATTTTTGTTTAGCAATCAACTTGTCACCTTCTACCCTATTCTGCTAGCTTTCTATGAAAGACATAAAACACACTTAAGAAGGTGGACAAACTACTGATAGAATGCTCATGTTCAAACTAAAAAATGCTAGGAGGGGAACATAAAAATACCAGTTCAAGCTGCTGCTTACCACTAGATGTCCTACAGTGGTACAAATGGCTAAGGTAAGTCAAGTCTGGCACAATGTTGTCATTGTGAGATATTCAGTGATGTTTCTTTTGTTGTCACAACAGACATAGGAGCTACTTTTGTCTCCTTTCTTCACACTGTGTTTGGCCCAGATCTTTGAATGAAAGCGGGCTCCAAAGGGCGTTGATCTCTGGACTGATGTGCCTAAACATATTGATGCATCTGCTGCCAGGCCTCCACCCCATTCCCTGAGTGTTCTGCATTGTCACTTCTCTGCACAAGTCAGCTGGTGAGGAATTCTGCTTTCCTGTAAAGGCTTGCTGGGGTGGGAGCAGAGGCCAGTTCATTCTTAGTATCAAGTAGTGCTGCGGTAGGTAGATATTGCAGAGTGTCAGCCAAACCAAGCTGATGCTGTTTAATGATATAAGTCATGGTTTCTGACAGCTGCTGGCTTATTGGGATATTTTGTTCACCGAGCACATTTTGCATGACTTGCAAAGGTGATGCTATCACTGGTAGTAAGTGGACTCATCATGGGAGAAATGCACAGGCAGCAGCAGAGCACCAGTGCAGCAGAAAGAGTTGAGGGTTGAAAGCTATTCTGTTTAAATGGAGTTGAATTCTGCTTCAGAATCTTGTGAGTGAGCATTTCTGACCTGTAAAGGAGAACTTCTGCTGCTGCTGTGCATGCTGACTGTACCCTTATCTCTTCCTTTGCTCTTGAGGCTTCACCTTGTTGACTTCAGCACATTGTGGAGCAAGCTGCTTGTCACCAGCTGCAGAGTATGTGTGAATATTCGCCCCACTGCACCTGCAAGGTGTATTGGAATGAGGCTAAGCTGCCACCTCTCACACCCATGAGATGAGCAAGCTACTCCCAGGCAACAGACTGAAGTATTCAAAGCTGTGGTAGTGCCTCCAAACAAACCATGCCAGCTGGAAATGATCTCTGTCATCTTCGTGGGATACACCACTATGATGTGATGTCACCTGTCTCTGTGGGTTTGAGAGTTAAAATGCATTCAGTATTTAGGGACTTATGAAAATATTCATGGCAATTGTGAAAGGGTGGTGTAGCTTTATAAAAGTACCTAAAGACAATCATTTATGACTCTATTGAAAGAAATGGCTTTTCCCTTCACAATTGAGACTGACATAGATTAATTTATTTCTTTGCCCTTTACCAAGGATCACATTGACTTTATATCAGGTTCTTTGCAGTGCTAGCCAGCCATTTTAAGCCTGGGAACACAGCTAGTACATCTCATGGCCAAGCTGAATTTTAAAATGCCTTCTACCTTGGTAGAATCATCAGGTTTCTCCCTTACAGAGAAGTTTCTCTGCTCAGACCTAGGCTGGTTGGGTACCATGTGCCCTGCAGCCATGTGTGTCATCTCCTCTGCATGCCTCGTTCTCCCCTTGCTGTTCTTTGTTTCTGCCATTTCCCAGTCTTTTTCACTACTGGTCTGGGCACACAATTACTCTGGAAGACCATAAGCAAAGCAAATTAAAATGCTGTGCCTTGGATTTTGTACCAGTGGGCCTCAGTTCAGTTTCAGAACTTCATTGTTATTCTTTTGGTATGATAGCGACTCCCTCAGCAGCTCAGACAGCAGCAGCAGATGGGCCTAAGAGTTATGTTTCTGAGTCTGCCTGCCCCTCCTTGCTCTTCCTGTCTGTCTGAGTGCTCACATTTAGTGTTGTAAAATCACACAGCGTGTATCCTGACACCACCCCCAGCAGCAACAACAGAAAAACCCTGGGACCCACTGAAAATGTATCTGTGGGACCAAAAGATATCTCAGGATCCCAGGATCCTGCTTTCTGTGGTCCCAGGTTGCATTCCCTAGTTAAGCACCATCAATATCAATACTTAATGGTATTCTCTAAGCTCAGGCAGTGAAGAAAATAGGGTTGTTATCTATCAAAGCACATTTTAGTTTTTGACAAGTAAAAAGCAGCATGGGGAATGCAGTAAGTCTGAAATGAAAGCCTAAAAGAAAACTCATATAACATCTGGTGTCATTTATCCCCTGTTGGCCTTCCATAGTGTGATATGATGAGCTTGTTCTGATTTAAGATCAGATGATTTGGTTTGAAAGAGGGGAGTGGGGGATGCAGGCAGTCTGGCAGCAAATTGGGATACAAAATCTGCTCAAATAATTGGAAACACGACAGATTTTCCTTAACTGATGCCAGTGGCATCTTAGTTTATCCATCTCTCTCAGCTGAATTTGTTAAGTGCATTATCTTATTGGTTTTAAAGTTTTCATCTCACTTATTTGCAGGGGAAAATGTGAGCAAATCAGTCATGATGGATTGCCTAATTTTCTGGGCTGAATAAACCAGTTTTATAAGACTGTTGATTCCTGGGTTATTAGTTAATAGAAACATTTATCAATTTCTTTATAGAGAAGGGGAAAAAAAACTTTAACCAATGATTGCATTTTAAAACTTTCATTAATGTTTCCACATAATGCTTAGTGTTGGACATGAATATGGTAATCACAGATTTAAGGTTGGCTTGAAGCAAATTTTTTTTCTGTCCTTCCTCTCTTCTTTTTTCTGTAGAAATTAGGAAAAAGAAAGTCAAGCAAAAGGATGTCATTAGATTGGTAATTATGTTGAGTGTTCTTTGATCAAGAAAAGGGGCAGAGGAAGAGAAAGATCATTTCCTAGTTAGCAAATGCAATGCCTGAATCTATTACCAATTTTCCCTACATAAACAGGGCCTGATTCTGTGAGCTGGAGCTCCTATGACTTATCAGTCTCTGTCTCCTTTTTAACTCAAGTGTCAGCTGGATGCTAACCCTCACTTCTGTGTGGCTTGAGCACAACATTAAAATTGTACCTAAAGGTATGCCATGAAGCCTTTGAGGTACTTTGAGGTACCTAAATTAATAAACCAGTTTTTGCGTGGTTCACAATGAAAACTCTAGAAATGTTGATTTGCTGATAGAGATCCAAGAGATATAATCGCTGTAGTGACCCTATTATAAAAAACAAACCACTTCTTAATGAGAAAAACTCTCCCTTCAGTCTTAATGAAGTGTCACCGCTATTTGTTTTGAAATGCAATGTCTGCAAGCAGATGAAGACCCAGTGGGCGATGTAGCCAGGGTACTGATAAGATGTGGCACTATTCACTGCCCCGGCTGATGCTCACAGGGACAAAGAGGTGTCCTCTTGCTCTCATCGAGGTGCAGTTTGCCCTCACCCAGGGTACAGCTGTGCCTGCCATGTTACCTGCACATTATAAAGCCTTTTACATAAAGGGCCTTAATATAACTAAGAATCTTTGCACATTGATCAAACCGAAGTATCATTTAAAAAGACATCAAGTTCAGAGCAAGAATACATCATGCGTGGACTGGTGAATAATGAACTCATGTTCTAAATGAGATGCAGGATGTCCATTAAATTTTTTTAACACCTCTATTTCCATTTCCATCTCCTTTTAAGCATCTCGTATACCTGTGTTGAGCAGTGGTTCCAGAAGTGCAAAAGACACTTCCTTCAGAATAAGAATGAAGGGAGTTAAAAAACTTTTATGCAAGTAGACTTTGCTGTGAAATGTTATCTTTTGTTAGTTCAAAGGTTTCTGAAGATATAAATTCTTCACAACTGCCCTGAGGTACTGAGAATGTAAATTGAATACTTTACAATTTGTAGACTGTTCCTGCAGTAATGTGTATCTCCTCTGTGAGTGAGTGTTTAGGGATTTTTCAATTACTGTAGTCTGAAAACTCTCTGAGATTCTTTAGGGCAGAAAAAGGCTTCCTTCTCAAAGTTGAGTCACTGATGTTCAAATTAGCTGCCAAAAGCATTCTAATGATCTGTGTTCCAGATTTTGCTAAACAGGGGAAAAAAATTGGCCCATTTCACCAGGGGAAAGAAAAAAACACCCCAAGCCTTTCCTCCCCCACCAGAAGTATCCAAAGCTTAGGCATTTTGCCAGGGTCAAGAGTGAGATGAATTGTTGACAATAAGTACACCTTGTTCAATAGGTCAAGGTCATTATTAAGGGATTCAAATGAACTTCTTTGCATTTCCAGGGCTGTAGCATATGTGTGGCCTCCAGGCTCACCGTGTTGTTTAATAGCTTTTGTGAAGCTGTAAGTTAAATGATAAATTGGTTGAATATGTCTTTAAATCCAGTCAATTCCAAAACTGTATACTCTTACACTTTTACGTACTGTGATCAAGTGCACTTTACAGAGCATGGTACAAATTGTCCGAAATACCATCACTATGCCAGCTGATTATGATTTAGCAGTGTTTACCATGGACTACTCTTGCTACAGTTTATTGCTGCTAAGGTCAATAACTAATACAATTTAACAGCTATTGCATGGCTAACATATAATAAAAGATCCCAGCGTATTTCTAAATGCAACGTGCATCAAAAATAGTGCAGTTAAAAACACCGGGGGTGATAGAAGTCTATAATATTAAGAAACTCATTAGGACATCATGAGGATCTTCTGTGGCAGCCAGCAGGGGTGACCATCCTCATCCCTCTGACTTTGCAGGGTTGAGCTACCTGTTGTTGGCTTCAGAGCAGGTGGGTGGGTGATCTACCATACCAGGCTGCATCATCTGTGGGATCTTTCCTAAACCCACGCATTGGTCATTTATTTCCAGATGCAGCAACCAGGTAATTAGTCCCCAGATGATTTGACACACTTCGTTTGCCAAGATTTGCGCTGCTCATGTGGTTTCTGCACCGTGATTGATCATTTGGAGCCACTTCTGACACAGAAAGTGGGGAACGTTCTCTGAAATTAGAAGGCAGCAGATTAAAGTGTGTTGAGAGAGAATATTTATTAGAATCACAGAGTCCTTTAGGTTGGAAAAGATCCCTACGATCATGGGACACAACCGTTTACCCAGCACTGCCAAGTCACCATTAAACCATGTCCCTCAGTGCCACATCCACACACCAGGGCTGGTGACTCAACCACTCCCTTGGAAAGTCTTTACCAATGCTTGACTACCCTTTCCTTGAAGAAGTTTTTCCAAATATCTAATCCAAATGTCCCCTGGCTCAGTTTGAGGCCATCTAGTATGGCACAAGTGGTAACTGATGGAATCTATTACCACAAAGGGACGTGTTCTGAGAGAAAAAAACTCAGTTGTATTTGAAAACTGTTTCATTCTTGTAGCCTTCAGATTGTTCGGCCTTAATCTGCTGACTTTGAAAACATTTAGTGAATATTGCCAGTTAATCTCCTCTCAAGTTTTTTTCCTGCCCCCGAGCCTGTTGCTCTCTGGCTTGTATTCTTTGTTCACAAACCTTGTTTTCATTCACATCCTACCTATTACAATCTACAGATTCGCCCTTTCCTATTTCATTACTCCCTATTCACCAGTATTAATTTGTTCCACTGCATGCTTTACTATTTAGCTTTGTGAGACTTTTTAGTCATCTCAGAGACTTTGCAGCCATTTAAATTATGCAAAATGTGTATGCTTTTAAAACAAAAAGTACACAGCCTGCCCTTTGCAGTCAGTTTATGAAATGGTGTTATCGAAAATGAGACCCACGTCTTTGTAATGTATAAATTCAGTTCACAGTCACTGGTGAACTTCTCTCCCCTGCCTCCAGCTCTGCCAGTGGCCCCTTTCTGCACCCCCAGTGGGCTGGTGTGTTTCTGGCCATGCTGAAGGTGACATCTACTCTTCTCTGCAGATCTGCCAAGGGTCAAAAGTCCTGCAGCGTGCTCTTCATAGACCATCTGCACTATGCCTGGCTTTCAAGAGTGTGATCCACAGGGAGGAGATTTCTCTGCACAGGAATTCTTCATAGGATACAATGAATGCATAATTAAAGAGGATTTTAATGCAAGAAAGTAACAGAAGCATAACTTTGGCCATCCTGTCAGAGCTTAGGCACACCAGAAGCTTTACTGTGACTGAAGAAAAATAAGTCAAAACTGATAAGCTTTCCTTAGCTGATCACTTCTTAAACAAACTCCTGTGATAATTCCCCATTGATAACATAGGAAACAGGGAAATAAGGACACTGACAATTAGGTTATATGCCACAGTCAGACCCCGTGAGAGCCAGGAAATAAAGAGTCAAGAGCAGTTTGGTGAACACACAGCACCCACAAGAGTATTTTCCACATGGGTTTCTTTGCAACCCAACTTTTTCACCCTGGGTCTTTGCCTTTTCTCCGGCACTATTTAGTTGCACAAATTATCCAGGATAAACTGAGTAACTGGGCCAAATTACGCAGTTTGATGTGTTTATTTCTGTGTGAGCAGTTTCTGGGATCTGTTCATGTTTCCCGGCTGGATTATGGAAATGCCGAGTTTCCCCCTTTCCTGAACAGTTCGGTGTTCTTCCCCACTGGTCCCTTGCCGGCAAGGATGACATAATCTGCCGTCGGGCCCGTTCCCTGGCAACCATCCCATTTCTTGGCTCTTTCCAGCTGAAAGCCAGTCTGAGTCACCCTGCACATTTCCAGTGTATCAAACAGACATAGGCTCGAGTTAATCTTGTTAGCACAATGAGGCAGTTTTCAAACATTGCAGCAAATCAAATCATCCCTAAGGACCGGGAGGGAGGAGAGGGCGGAGGGAGGGTGGGGGAGAAGGAGGCGAAGGCCAACCATCAAAGGTGGAATAAGCACAGAGGGAGCCCGGCTTCTACCTGGACATCAGGCTCCTCCATCAAGGCACCTCCAGATCCTGCTCTTCTTCCCAGTGCCACCTCCCTTCCCACCGGTCTCCGCATCCGTGCCGTGCTCAGAGCGGAGGCAGCAATGGGCAGCGAGAGGGAGAGCTCATCTATCTGCGAGGAAAGAAGCAGCTTTGATGGTTCCCCAGTGGATGTAATTGTGCTCATTACTGCCCATTTACATTTCATCACTCGATTATCGCAAATGCCTCATTACTGTTGATAAGGGTTTGCTGTTGAACTACTTGCTAACTATTCATTCCTGAGCTTTGCTGTCATCGCAGACCCGTGTGAGACAGGAGAGGACTGGGGAGGGCTGGGGGAGAAGGGGGGGAACATTGAGGAGACATGAGGAGGGGGAGGAGAGACAGGAGGTGAGAAAGGTCTTCTATCAGATTTGATTAAAGGCTGTGATTTAAATCGATATTTAATAAAGTGGCTGCTGCCACATAACGCGTGCAATTCCCCATGCAGGCAGAATCATGAATCCGAGGGCCTTGCTGCCTGCTACATAACTCAATTGGGTTTTGTGCACTGGTCTGGCACCTGTGTCCCTGAGCACAGCGCCTCCGAGGTAATGGGTTTATGAGCCGATGAACAGAGCTGATAGGTTCTAAATGGATTAACTAGGTGTCTGCAGCCTAGTGATGAATACATCAGGAAAGGGGAAAAAAAAAAAAAAAAGAGAGATAGAGAAAGGAAAAAGGAAAAAAAGATTGTCTGCATAAGCAGAGAGTGATAGAATGTGTTGACAGACACTGTGGCTGTCACGAACCCCACAGGGTGAAACACTGCTCAGCTCCTGTCAGTCAAGTGCTCTTTGAAGAGCGGCTGAGACAGCAGGCAGCAGTGCTTCACAAGCCTGCAGGTGACAGGTAGCATCACCCTGCTGCTGCTCCAAGAACTGCTGCAAAAGGCTAAAGTGGAGCATGACTCATCTAAAAGCCATGGCCAGTCTGGGATTTCCACAAAGGCGCTGCATGTGCCGTTTTGGCTGGTGGCTCTGCCTTCCCCCTGTGGCTCAAGCACACGCTCCAGCCAACCTGGATGTGTATTTATATCCCCGGGAGTGGGTTATCACTGCTATTCTTGTGCTCTCACAGTGGTTCCTCAAGCAGGGTTGGATTTCTGCAGTGCTCAGCCCTGCACACAGACGCCCACCGTAAGGCACTTCCTGCCCCTAAGTGTTTTTTAAGTGGGTAAACCACAAGAGTCATGAAAGAAGTATTTTTGTATTCCCAGATGGGAGACAGGAACAGACAGATTAAATAATTTGACAAAGATTCCATAGGAGAACTGGAAATTGAAGCCAAATCTCTTAAACCCAGGTCTAATGCCCTAACTGTGGAGTCATCCTTCTTCCTGTGCACAGGGCCATGGAGCATCACAGTCCGTGACTGATCTACAGAATATGTTGAGAATGGAAAATAAAATCAGATAGACCTTAATGATGACATCTTTTTACTACCATTAAACTGCCAAAAGTATAGTGTTAGGTTGGATTATTTTGTGGGTTTACAACTTTTCTACCACCCCTTGTATTGCCTAAGAAGATTCATGTTTTTTAAGCTCCATAATCTGCCACAGCACTGAAAAAAAAAAAAAAAAGAAAGAAGAGAAGAAAAAAAAGAAAAAAGAAAAAAAAGAATAACAGAAAATAAAAAAGAAAAAGAAAGCCATGTTATTATATGCAGACATTACACAGATAAATGAACCAGTGTCTGTATTTGCTGTCACAGTTACACAGGAGTTAACCAGACTGCTTTGAAGTAGATAGCTGTATTTTAGAATATGTTGCCTTTTTACTAAAAATTGAAAACTGAATACTTTTATTTGAAAAATACCTCCACAGTGCTTATGAGAGTTATATTTTGGATTTTTATCCCACCATTGTTCTTGCTGTGTGATTCTCCCCAAACACATTACATTGCATATAATTTTCACCTCTTGCTGAGCTGCTGCAATGAATTACAGAATCCATTGGATTCCTATGGGAAATGAAGTCAAAAATATCAGTACCCAGATATTTCAAAATTAAAATCTTTAGTTAAAAGAAAAAAAAAAAAAAGGAAAAAGGGAGCCTTTTGCAAGAAATAGCCAAATTTCCCCTTTTATTTTTGTGAAAAATTGAGTAATTTTTAGCCTTCAAAATGTTTAACATAGAACAGAGTAGACATATAAAATAGCTGCTTACTATGTTGTTGTACATAAACCACAATTTAAAACCACTGTCTGATTGTGTTAAGCCATGATTCCAAAAGTCTCCTCAGCCAGGGTGCATCCAGGAAAGAAAATCCTCTGGGGTATTGATCTGCACCCACATTTTCTGGTTGCTTTTTAAATTCTTGTTCCAGTTTTCAGTAAGGCTATTTCTGAAAGGAAAAAAAAAATAGTAATGGAATGAGGTTTTTTTGTTTTGTTTTTTTTTTACTTTCCTACAAAACAACTTCTACAACAAAATTGTATGTAATTAGAGTGGCTTGAATCATTCAGTATTATTCAGACCATCTGGGTTAACTATATAATGTCATCCCAGCTATAAAAGGCTTCATTAAAAATATTATGAGAAGAAGCAGGTTTCTCTATAAGGATGCATTTTGGAAATGGAAAAGAAAGTTATGAACATGGAGACAAATACATCCATCAGCAAATGATCAGGTAAATGTTGGTTCTGTGTAAGATAATGCAAAAAAACTCCAATCATAATGCATGTCTGACTCACAGAATTTGTGAGGGATTACCTTCTCATTTTAAGGTCATTGTGTATAATCCAGCCAGATCTCAGCCAGATAGATATCTGAAGACTCTGGACACAAAAGTTCCTTCTGAGTTCTGAAATCTCTGATGTCTGTGACAATTAAAGATACAGTAAATGCCATGATTATACATTCAATAAGTCTACATTAAATGAACAGCCATTGGTAACAACCAAAGTGTTTCTAATTATATCTATATGTCTTAAGAGTTTCTTCCTGTTGGTTAGTTCGTTCTTACAAAAGCAGTTTAGATTACAGAATTTTACCCCCTGAAACCGACCACTGAAAACAAGAGTGTGACCCACCAAAAGGAAAAACTACTGTAATCTGAAAATACCAGTCTGACAGACATCATATGCACTGCTGTTTGCCTTACCATGGAGGGATGTGTTGTGGTGTGACATGACTACTGATAATTTTTAAATTAAATTTTCAGTTCTGGTCAAATTCTGTTTGTTTTGCACTAAATTTTACTGTCCAATTGTTAATGTACTGCCTCTTACCAATGAACATTCCTGCTTTGTACTTGTCCAATTGAGTTGTGACTTAATTTCATAGAGAGATCACTTGTTCCAGCCTTAAAAATATGAATGTTGCCAACACTCCTACCATCATTTCCTCCATTGTATGTAGAGTTAGAAAAATGTATGCACTCAATCAGTGAGCTCAGCACAGAGTAAGAAAGAAAATGTAGCTTCTTCTATTTGGCTGATCAGGAAATATCAAAATAAAATGTTATAGGGAAACAAATCATGTACCATTCTAATTCCCAATGCAATTTGGAAAATGTACAAGCCTTATTTTTTTTTTTTTTTTAATATTTTCATGTCAGAGTGGTTTCTTTTTATTAAAAATATCAATTAAATATTCCTGCCCTGTCCGCTGACCTCTCCCCCATGCCTTCCCTCCAGAATAAAAAGACTGTTATGGACAAAGAGTAGTTGCCTCCTGGCATTAAAACAGGGACTGTGTGCATCCATCTGTTCAATGGAAATCATAGACCCTTGAGTCATGCAAAATGGTGACTCAGAATGAGAGGGAGATGACCTTGGGAGGCTCTCTGTCAAGACAGTTCTGATGCTTTTCTTGTTGTTGTGATCCTTGATGATTCTTTGTCTTGCCTTCTGAAGGGTCTTTAATTTTGTCTTCTGGAAAACTGAGATCAGTCGGAAATATTTCCTTCCAGGAGGTAACATGTCGTAGGGAGTCCTTTGATAGTGTTTAGTAAAGGCTCTCGTCCTTCTGGTTGCTGCTCTCTGTGGTTGTCCCTCTGTGGAGGAGGTTTTTGGCCACACTACAACCACGATCCCTCCAGCTTGGCCCTACAAAGTCCTCTCAGATCCTTTAGCCAGCATTCACATCCTCTTGCTCATCCATTCCTGCAAAAAACTTTAAAGTCCTATCCTTTCATGCCTAGCCCCACAAAATATTAAGGATAGATGTATATATTTGTGTTCTGAGGAGTGGTCCAGGAGCGGTTTCTTTTGTTGTGAAATTTTGTGCCACTGATATATGCAAAAGTGCCTATAAAACAGCTTAGGGTGCTGAGCACTCACAGCTCGTGCCTCTAGAAGAGCAGTGAGGGTGTTCAGCTTGCCTGGGTCTTGGCCATGGGGGCATAACACAGGAAGGATTTAGTCATACCTCATCCAAGAAATATTTTGCAGATGCTGCTCAATGAAGGCATCTGGACCAAGAAAGATAATTAAACCAGGAAAGAAAGAAAGACAAACTCCTTTCATAACCTAAAGAGAATTTGACCAATTGAGTCCCTTTGTCTGTATCAGGTAAACATTCGTGTGTAGAAATCCAATGGTTAGAATAAATATTTGGTGCCTACTTGGTAATATTCATGAAATGTATTTACATGTTTAGATTTTTCCAAATCTGCATACCTAAACTTTAAGCATATGTGCAATCAGCTTCAAGTTTTCCAAACAAAAAAAAGACCAGGAAAGGGGGAAAAAATAGCATCTGCTCCTCAGCTAATCAAACCACCCAGGGAGATTGTCAATAAACAGTGCAAGGACCGGGTCCTCCTGCCGCTCCTTATTTCCTACGTGTCATATTCCGTAATGGCAGTTAACTGAAAGCAGATCACTGAAGATTGCTCACAAGGGGTTGTTGCTTTTTGGTTTTTTATTTAAGAAAGGCCCAAACGTGGTTGAGTGGGAAGCACTGGCAAAACACTGGGGTGAGGAGGAGAAGTGGGAGAAGCAGCTTCCTGATTATCAAAGTGAGAGGAGGGTAAAGAGTTGCTCCAGGTGTGAGAGTGGAGTCCCCTGCTGCCACTGGAGAGATCCTGGTGGGGCTAGTGGAGCTGGAAATGAAGTTAAAAAAGGGAATCAAAGGGTGAGAGTATTTTACTTTTTCTGCC